TGAGAAAAAAAGTCAGAATTTTGAGATTAAAGTCAGAATTCTGAGAAAAAAAGTCAGAATTCTGACTGAATTCTGACTGAATTCTGACAATAAAAAAGTAAAAATTCTGAGATTAAAGTCAGAATTCTGAGAAAAAAAGTCAGAATTCTGACTGAATTCTGACTGAATTCTGACAATAAAAAAGTAAAAATTCTGAGATTAAAGTCAGAATTCTGAGAAAAAAGTCAGAATTCTGACTTTTTTCTCAGAACTCTGACTTTTTTCCAATACGAAACTGAAATAAAATTTATAAATCAGTTAACTTTTTTTTTTCCACTGGCCCTAATCCTCTTCCATAGAAACTAGATGACAGAAATATGAGGGTATATATTTCCAAAGGCAAAGGAAGAATTACCAAGAGCAAAATGGCCGCCAGGATCTGGTAGATGGAGTTGATTTCTTCTTTTGAGAAGCCGATCACATCAAGGGCACTCATCACCGCTTTGTGGTTCGATCGGTCGTTGTTGGTTGTCTGAAAAAGTGAAAAAAGCTCAAAGGTGGACCTTAAACGCTGCTTTATCCACGATTCTTTCTTATTATGACAGATAGAAAACTCACAGCAGCTGCAGCGCCCTCTCTGGTGTAGGTGTAGAGTGCAGGGTTGTTCTCCAGGTGAAATGACTTCAGGGTCTCCTCAGTGCCTCCGCGCAGCAGCTGTGGAAACACGGCAAACATCTTCAGTCTGATTCCCTCTGCAGCCAAGATCAGAGGAGGTGAATGCAGGAAGTTTACCTGGTAGAAAGAGTGGAAGTTCCTCTCCCCTCCCTGCTGCTGGACCACCCTGGACTTAATGACACGAAAAAAGAAAGAGCAGAGCTTCAGGAAATCACAAAGTTATGCAGCCAGCCTGCGAAACGAGGCTTTTTTAAATAATTTCACACTTTTAGACCCAGGAAGTTTGGATCCTTTCATTCCGGAAACAGATTTTTGGGGATTTCAATGATTTTAAATAGACTTTTCCAACGATTAGATGTTTATAAACACACTAATGTAATGACGTAATGACAGGAGCCCTCGATTTAAGAGCAGCAGCATCTTTCTTGTCTGTTCATCTAGAAGTTTCCAGCCCACAACGTGCCGCAGTCGTGCTGGTTTCTGTTGTTCCTGAACATCATCAGAGGGGAACAGTTTGGGTCAGAAGGTCGACACCCATCATAAGTTCCTTCCAGAAACCAAATGGTCCAATACCTAAACCAGTCCTGCCCAGAGGAGAACGTCTAAATAAGCGGATAAAATATATGAATTTCACTGAAAAAAAAATGTAGCTTTTGAATATTTGCTGGTGAAGATTCTCAGTCATCCACAATCCACTGGATTTCATTTCCAAGTTTGCAATGCCCCATACCTGTAGCCTCGTGAGACCATCCTGATCTGGCGAGCTTTCAAGGTTTCACTCGCTAATCAGTCTAGAGACTCTCCGTCGTCCAATCAGCGTTGGCTTTGAGGCGGGTTGAGGTGTGACGCAACGAGAAGCGCCACAGTTCAGTCTAAAGAACATGGCGGCTTCA